GGTGCTTGCAAACCATAAGAACTACTGCCGTTCATATATTGATGATGTGGCAATATTTTCTGAAACTTGGGATGGCCACCTCTATCACATCGACCAAGTGTTTCAGACACTGAAAAACACAGGTCTAACCGCAAATCTAGAAAAGTGTGATTTCGGAAAGAGTCATGGGAAGTTTCTAGGACATGTAATAGGTTCTGGCACTCACTCTCCAGATCCTGAGAAGGTAGAAGTCATCAGAAATCTGTCTAAGCCTACCACTAAAAAAGAAGTCAGAAGTCTTTTAGGGCTAGCAAGCTACTATAGGGATTATATCCCAAATTTTTCCGAGATTGTTTTACCTCTAACAAACCTTACAAAGAAGAGTGTTCCAAATAATATTCCATGGGACTCTGAAAAAGAAGCAGCTTTTAACAAACTTAAAGAAGAGTTGATTAAAATGCCATCTCTGCATACTCCAGACATCAGCAAGCCCTTTCAACTCTATACGGATGCATCTGCTTTCGCAATTGGAGCGTGTTTAGCTCAAAACGACAAACATGGCAAAGAAATGCCCATAGCATTTTTCAGCAAGAAACTAATTCCCTGTCAACAACGATGGTCAACCATCGAACGAGAAGCATTTTGTGTCATCGAAGCCTTGAAAAAATTTGACACATGGATTTTCGGTGCCAAAGTGCATATTGTGTCTGATCACAATCCCCTCACCTACTTGACTCAAAGCGCCCCTCATGGTGCTAAACTGTCTCGTTGGGCCTTAGCGTTACAACGGTATAACATGACTGTGACATACCGCAAAGGAAGTTCACTTGGGAATGCTGATGCTTTGTCAAGGTTAGCAGTTAACTCTTTCTCTCTCAATGAAGTCTGAGCAGCATTGTCTCTACGGTGAGACTACTAGTGAGAATGGTGACGAATGTGCTTCTTGTGGGGGGACTTGTAAAGATCATGACTTGTAAAGATCATGACTTGTAAAGATCGTGACTTAAAGAGAACGTGAAATATAAATAATAGGACAAGAACTTGCATTTTACGGTGTGGCAACAAGAAGAGAATTCAGAAGATTTTTTTTTTTTTATAGTTGTAAGAGTTTTAACTGTAGTAGTTAAGAGTTTAAAATTTTAATATTTAAGAGCTGCAGCATTTTATTTTTTTGGTTCTGTTCTAAAATTCAAATAAAAGTATTTTGTTCATTCTGAAAATTCATCCTACAAGGTTCAATATCCGTTATATTGAAATAAGGAAAGATTTTTACTAAGGGTTTATCGAAAAAAATGCAAAAGGTTTCTCAGTTTGCATTTGCAGTTTAAAGAATATCTAAATAGACATTTAATCATTTCAGATCTTTAAAATTTTATTACTGAATTTCAATACACACCATATATATATAAATCAAACCTAGTACTATTTATTCAATTGGTAAATATTTATATTTAAATTACAAAACTTTTTTTAAAACCTTATGTGGCCGGAAAAATTGCAAAAAATCATAAAACACAAGCAGAATTTTTCTTTACCTGTTTTTGTTTTGTAAAACACGTTCAAAACAATTTTAATACATTAATTAATTATAATATAGTTGTGTGCGTACGGGTTTGTATTAGATTGATAGTAGTTCGTAAATGATTGTTATTGCACTCAAATCCGATGATAGCTTAATTAAATTTATTTTATCAACAGAAACACTTCAAAGTTCTGGAATTTTCCGCAGAAATACTCATACAAGTGTTTAGAATATTCCTAAAGACGAAAGTGTTTTCCTAAAGACGAAACTCTTTCATATCTCCTTTTTCTCCTCTTGCTAATGGCAGCTGTGCGAAGGAGCATTGCATGTGAAAGGGCTTGAATGGGAATAGAGGTAGAAGCAAAAGTGTGCAGTTATCTAATATGGCTGTCTCTTAAGAGAAAGGTTTCAGTTCTTCATATTTTGAGTTCAAGTTTGAATTAGTTATGACAAAGTTTCAGTTTAGGTTTCTCATTAGTTACGTCATCAACATTATTAAGTCATATGTATGGATTGATCTAGAAATGATACAGACGAGAGAAATTTTCATGTACTGCAGATGCTAAAAGGGGGCATATCAAAATCTAAAGAAGAAATTTAAAGAGATGTTGCTAACTAATTTAGTAATTTATTTTCGTATTTTACACACACATACACATATATACATACTGGCGAGCCAAAACATTATGACCATCCCATTTTTCAGTGAACTCTTCTGGATGACGTAGAGGGCACGTGATTAAGTGAGAATGGTACTGAACTGCTGGTGGAGAAGGAATCATTCTTGCACTTACTTATGCAAGTGATGGGACAGGCTGCTGATCTGAATAAATTTGATAAAGGGCAGATTGTAATGGCCCAAACACTGGGAACGAGTATCTGTGAAACTGCACAACTGGTAGGTTGTTTACAATATACCATTGTTAGTATTTATGAAAAGTGGATAAATAATGGTGATACCAACAGTAGATACTAACGTGTTGGACATCCATGTGTCATTAAAGAAAAAGGACGTCGGAAACTGTCCTGCTTGATAGATCAAAATCAGTGCCAGATAGGCTTAGCTGAACCCCAATTACAATGAAGGTCCAAGTGTTTCAAAACACACAGTTCAGTGGATACTGTTGGATATGGGACTGCACAGCAGACATCCCATTCATGTGCCTCTATTGGGCAAGCTTTATTGTCAACTATGCCTACAGTGGGCCCGAGAACATCGAGACTGAAATTGAGTAAGTGGATGACAGTTGCCAGTTGCCAGGTAGGATGAATCGCAATTTCTCATTCATCATGTTGATGGTCATGTCAGTGTACACCATCTTCCAGCCGAACAATTGCTCTTTCCCGTACAGCAGGTCATACGCAGGCTGATTGTGGCAGTATTATGCTTTGGAAGACATTCCCTTGGGCAGCTCTGGGACCCTTAGTTGTGGTAGAGCAGACCATGAAAGCTGCGGACTATCTGAACATAATTGTGGATCAGTTGCATTCTTACATGGCGTCTGTCTTCCGAAATGGAAAGGGAAACTTCCAGCAGGATAACGCTTTGGTGTCACAAGGCGTGAATTCTGTCGGAGTGGTACAAGGAGCATAAGGATGAATCCTAGTTAATTGTCTGGCCACCTAACTTGCCGGATCTTAACCTGATAGAGCACATTTGGGATGCCATGGAGTGGTAGCTCAGAGCTCAAACACTACCATGTTGGAATATCTCGACTTTGCGTGCCCTCTGTTTAGAGATTTGGTACAACCTATCTCCAGTTATCTACCAAGAAATTGTGGCATCAGTGTGGAGGTGAGTTACAGCTGTTTTACAGGCCAAAGTTGTGCAACATGTTATTGAGTAGGTGGTCATAATGTTTTGGCTAAGTTGCAATTTTTTTTTGGTATGGGTTCAAGTTATGAGCGTTTGTCTGAACTTCATTATTGTAATTAATCTATCATTATTATAATTGAAAGGTGCTTCTAATTCCATTTAAAAGATACTGAAAGAAAGTTATTTGCATACATCTTTACTATAAGAATTTTACCATTTGCAGTTGTGAGGAAACTCTCAGTTGTTTTAAATAATGAATTATGACAACTCAAGTAAAGATTATGGAGCAAGATTACAGTAATTAGAGCTATATAAATTATTATTTGTTATTTGACTTCAATTGCCAGTGGATGACTAAATGATATCTTTAAAATGCTGAAAAAATTAGAAAACAATTATTTTATTTATTTATTTTTAATTTGTAATTAAATGCAAGTGTATATAGGAAGAAGTGTTGGTGAAGGCAATGAAAATATTGAATTTCATAATTAGACAAGTCCAGTAAATAGAGCGATTTATATCAACTATTTATGTTTCAGAATATCTATATTGTTTAGGTGAAGCATTTAAAAAATCACATAAAAGATCTCCTCATAATTTTCTACTTTTGTTGTTTCTGTTTGACACTTAAAAAAGGAGCTTAAAAATAATATAAGACAGAGACTGAAAAAGTTTCGTGTGAGTCATTCACATAGGTTCTAAGTAAATAGCTATATGTACCGAAGAAATAACCAATGTAAATTATATCTAATGAATTATTGAAACCTGATATTTAGCTTTTCTTGTATAAAGAATGAAATCAAAATTTAATGTATTTATTACCTAAAAATTATGTTATCTTAAGTAATCAAAGGATTCATATGAAGATTAACTAATATAACATATTAAGTACTAATTACCATTCACATTAAAGTTTCATTTAGTTAGCTTCTATTTTTAGAAAACTTAATAATTTACTTTATTAAATTATTAAGTTTTCTAAAATAAAATAGCAGTAGTAAATTAACTTACGTGGCATTAAGTAAATTTACTTAATAATTTAACTTTGTACTGCTTGAACGTTGTAGTGGTTAGGGGAGACTAATGAGGTACCTAAGGGCCCAGCTTCAAATCCCGAAAAAAGCATGGTTGTGGCTGTTCATCCTTTCATAGCAGACAACGATGGCTGCCTATTAAGTACCTCCATAATAAAATGGCCACCACCTCTGGCCTTAGGAGTGGCCTGTTATGAATAGGCAAGCGCCCAACATTTGATTATTAAAAGATAATAATAATTTACTTATCGTTGTAACTTGAATTTCATTTTTAGTCTTTCTTTCTCCCCCAGCAGAACATCCAGTAAAAAATGGCTTAGACTAAGTGAGTGCAGGATCTTGCAGTTGACTCATAAGATTGATTCCTTATTGAAATAAGAAGATACTACTATTAGTTAGTGTAGTAATTGTAGTTTTTCAGTAATTTACAATTGTACGAATATGCTATTGCTGTTGGATTTATATTTCTTTCTTAATTAGTGTGTGGTTATTAAGTTTCCTGTTAAATAAATGAGATGTAATTTTAGCAGTTGCAGAAACTTCAGTAGATTTATTCTGAATATTTGAATTACTTCAAATTATTATTGTACTGGAGTTTTCAAGAAAGCTGTATCTAATAATTTTTTAATGTTAATATACTGTGTTTTAGTTTGTTGGAGTCCAAAGGGGAAGCAGTTAGTTGTTGGAAAGAAAGATGGTTCTTTTACCCAATATAAGCCCACATTACAAGAAGTTAAAACTGTTTCAGCTCCACCATTGCAGGAAGGAGAAATAAAAGGTAAAGATTTTTAAAGTAATAGATATTTTATTTGAATAGTCTGTTTTTACTGTAGATTTGATAGTGAATAAGCATTAGAAATAAGAAACTTCTGAGCTATATGCTGAGACATTTAGTTTGATAGAATTTGCAAATATAATTTCAAAGTACTATTTATGGTAAAACCACCAAGAGAAGCAGTTCATGGCAATGCAATGTAGAAATTTCATTTCAAAGTCATCAAATTCAACAACAAAGATATATTGTGTGTTTAATAGTAGTGAGTTTGAGATGAAGATTAATCTTTGGACTTTGTACTGCTGCATTCATCATGTGTTTCTGAATCTTTTAGAAAGCTGCTTCTGAAAATTTGTATTCCTGTTTTCTTTTGGTTTTAGTTTACGTTTTATGTGGAAATTATTCATTTAATTTATTGTTTCATGAATTTGGTAAATTCATTCAGTAATCTCACTAATTGTGTATTTATGCAGAATGTTAGTTCCCATGACGTTAATGTAGTTATAAGCAATATGTAATTGCAACCCATATATTGCTGTAATAAATTTCTGATTTGAGAATGATTGCATTCAACCATCTTACCTTTATGTTTTAATTCTGCATTTGTTTTTCAACAGAGTGGCATTAGGTATTTTCTTAGCAATTGAGCTGATTTATCTGAGCATTATGAGTGCATATTATCACTACTATAAGACAGAAACACAGATCAGGATCTCTGCCTTTTAAGGCTGCATTCATATATATTGGCAGGAGTGAAGAATTTATGCAGCTGCTCATCTTTATTAAAATTCTTGAAAATCAAGTTTAGAGAGAGGTAAAAATGCTGCAGAACCTGCAATTGTATTGAATTATTGATCCTTCATTATAACTAAGTAGTGTATTTTAAACCACAGAGAGCTGAACTGGATTGAAAGAGCAGCAATAACGTATTAATTTCCCATCCTAATGGGGAGATGTGAAATATTCTATAAACCAAATTTAAAGGGTTACATAGATCACAAACACATTCTGTGGCTTAAGATGAGGGACCTCAACATTTCAGGTGAAAGGGTTTCCTACTTCATGAATAACCATTGCGAAAATCAAACTGAATAATTTCAAATTTAAGTCGTGAAATTATCGATTATATGATGATTTTAATAGATTAGAACTCCTCATTGTAGAAGATAAGTTAAAGACCCTTGGGTTCACAAAGGATTTTCTCTGTGGAAAGCTTTCTACAGTATGTTGTGCACTGTGAGAGAAACTGTACTTTAATAGTTCTTAAGCTGAAGTAGGAATGTATGAAGGAGCATAGAAAATTCACAAATGGTTAAATAAATTATTTTTAATTTAATTTTTTTTAATGCTTGTATTTCTAATGTCTGTAAATTTTGTACTGGTTTAACAATCATATTTGAAATTCTAGTTGCGAATATATGTTGGATATCAACTACCTTATTTGCTATTCTGTATGTCCCAGAGGGTGAGAATGTTTCTCCAAGTTTAATTATGGCTTCCACTCCAGTAAGTAATTTATCCTCCTTTATTAAAGCTATTTAGATATTTTTATGTAATTTATCTGCAAGAAAAGCAGAGGAACCCCATCCGATCAGGTATTTTATTTGCAGATATTTTAATTCTCTGTATTTTTAAGTGTGAAAATATATTAGCATAAATATATTATCAGAATTTGAATGAATAGAAATAAACAAGGATAATTTTTTCTGTATATGTTATCAGTATACAGGAAGATTGAAAGCTATGTATCAGAAACTAACAGGAGATAGGGCAAAACAAATATGATTTAAAATGTGCATTGGCTACATCAAAGAAAAATACTGCCTATAAATTAATGATTAAAAAGCATTATACCAGAAGAGCTGAGGAGGAGTACAGAGGGTTAAGAAGGCAGGTAAAGATTCTACATAGAAAAAAAAAAAAAGAAGCCTTTTTCTTGAGGAGGCAAATAGATGTTACCATAGTCTTAAAAATCAGTTCAAATCTTGATTGATCTGCCATAATACTAAAATTAATACAGTCAAAAGTTGTTAATCCGGACTCGTTGGGAATTCGGCAATTCCGGATTATCGATTTTTCCGTATTATAGATCATCAGTTTAAATCTGGTAAGATGGCATGCAGAAATTGTAAAATTAAAAATATGAAACCGTAATTTATGAAATAAAGAACAATTATGATCTAAAGGGTATCAAAATTTACAAAAAAAAAAAAAAAAAAAAAAAAAAAAAAAGCTTAATATTTATTGTTTACTTTATTAAACATTTCTTTCAATGTAAGTTTGTAAGTTGTTTAAGTTGCTTCATTTTATGTCATAATACTTTCTCTTTAATTCTATAAACAAACATAATTTCTTGCTGAGTTACAAAGTTCCGCTGTTCAAGTCCTATAATTGCTGTCACTATCGGAAGAGATTATAGCGACGAGGAATTTGATTTAAATCATATCAAAGACGGAGTACATTGAGATGAAACAGATCAACTTCCAATTCATTGTGCGCCACGTAGTCCCCCCCTCCCCCGCAGAGCAGCGTGAAATTGATAAACATATTTTGTAATGATTAGATAATCAAAGGATATGCTTTTATCCATTTTTTGCAGCAATTCCACTTTCTGTTTAATGGACTTCGAAACATACTTTCGCTTTATAGATCCTTTACATATTAGTAAATATATATTGGAAATTCTATTTGACATAATCGAAAGTTCAAGCTTACTTTTATAAAATTGCTCTAACAATCTGCAAAAAATAATAAGCCGGATCCAATTCGAAGATTAAGGAACAACGCAGTCTGCAACATAAACTGAATTAGATAATTCTAGCTTAGCTTATACCATCCGTTATACATTAAACGCGCATGCGTAAACGTATTATGCGCTTGCACACACGCATATTCGCAGCCGTAAAGGTCTTACTCGCATGCGTCAACGCGACGCATGCGCAGAAAGTTGTAGCTTTGAGATCCAGATTATAGATCATTCCGCATTATGGGTGTCCGAATTAATGACTTTTGACTGTATATATAAAACCCTGTTACGTCCCCTACAGGGAAAGTGAAAAGCTCAAGCGCCAAAAGAATCACTATCAGCTGATAAACAAGATCAGGAAAGATTTCACGCCTAATGGAATATGCTGTACAAATAAAGATGGTGTGCTCCTGAATGAAAAGAATGAGATCTTAGGAAGATGGAGGGAATACTTTAAGGATTTGCTGCATGATAAAAACAATATAAATATAGACAATAGAATTATATTTCCTCTCCATACTGATGAACAAGAACTTGATTTACCAATTCTTTTTGAGATTGAATCTGCAATCAAGAAACTTAAACAGATCAGTGGGCCCTGATGAGATTAATGCTGAATTGTTGAAGGTTGATGAACCTGATCTGATTAAGGCTATACATTCTACTGTTTGTAGGGTTTGGACATCGGAGCAGATGCCCATTGAATGGAATGAGGACTTCATCTGTCCCATCTTTAAAAAAGGTGATAGACAAGACTGTTGCAACCTATTGTGGAATTACCCTCTTGAATACTATATTTAAAATTTAAAAGCTTTAAAGCTGTGCATGACAGCATTAATAGGCAAAAACTATATGAGGCAATGGAGGAATTTGAAATACCAATTAAGTTAATTAATCTAACAATAGCTACACTTAAAAGGGTAAAATGTAGAGTTTAACTTGGTAATGATTTATCTGAAGTTTTCTATACTGACAGAGGTTTATGGCAGGGTGATGCTCTGTCCTGTGTACTTTTTAACCCAGCTCTTGAGAAGTGCTTTCATAGCTTCTGGTCTTATGAATAAAGGAATCATTTACCATAAGGCAATACAAATCTTGGCATTCGCCGATGACATTGCTTTAGTTCATAGATCCAGAAAGTATGTTGCAGAATCATTTAATCTATTAGAAGCTAAGGCAAAAAAAATTAGGCTTAACCATAAATGAAAATAAAACAAAATTTTAGAAATTGCATATAAATCAACTAATCCGTCGCCACTGACCGCTACACTTTTGAAAATGTGTCACAATTCAAATACAGTACAAAGTCCAAAATCCAGGCTCATCAGGACTTTCTCTTTAATGAAATGGCGATTCTGGATTTGGGATTTTTCCGGATATTAGGTCATCAATTTAAATCAGATAAGATTGCATGCAGAAAGTATACAATTAAAAGTATGAAATCGTAATTTATGAAATAAAGAACAATTATGATTAAAAGGGTGTCAAAATGTACAAAAAATGCTTAATATTTATTTGTTTACTTTATTAAACATTTCTTTCAGTGTAAGTTGTTTAAGTTGCTTTCACAAAAAATTCATAAAGTTCCTTTTTCTTTTTTCTTATGTCATATACAGTTGACATTCCAAAGCCACACTCCTCGGATAATTTTGAGACGGATATGCCTTTATCCATTTTTGTTACAGCAATTCCACTTTTTATTTAATGGACATCGGAACATGGTTACGCTTTGTAGATCCTTTGGCAGCTCCAAAATTGGAAACTCTTTTTGACATAATCAAAAGTTCGAGCTTAGTTTTTATAAAATTGCCGTAATAATAACAGTTTGCAAAACATAATAAACTGGATCAAACTAGAAGATTAGGGAGCAGCGCAGTCCACTGCATTAAATGAAATGCCATAGAATCAGTAATGGTAATTTTAGCATCTATTATATATTATTGGCTGTGCATCACTAGATTGGCGACGAAAGCCAAGTTGTTTCGTTAAATTTTGTCTTGCTCCTATTGCGTACTTAATTAAGCCTGGATTGTATTAGTTATTTACTGTACCTACGCTTGTAAGTTGTTTAAGTTGCTTTCACAAAAAATTCATAAAGTTCCTCTTTCTTTTTTCTTATGTCATATACAGTTGACATTCCAAAGCCACACTCCTCGGATAATTTTGAGACGGATATGCCTTTATCCATTTTTGTTACAGCAATTCCACTTTTTATTTAATGGACATCGGAACATGGTTACGCTTTGTAGATCCTTTGGCAGCTCCAAAATTGGAAACTCTTTTTGACATAATCAAAAGTTCGAGCTTAGTTTTTATAAAATTTCCGTAATAATAACAGTTTGCAAAACATAATAAACTGGATCAAACTAGAACATTAGGGAGCAGCGCAGTCCACTGTTTTAAATGAAATGCCATAGAATCAGTAATGGTAATTTTAGCGTCTATTATATATTATTGGCTGTGCATCACTAGATTGGCGACGAAAGCCAAGTTGTTTCGTTAAATTTTGTCTTGCTCCTATTGCGTACTTAATTAAACCTGGATTGTATTAGTTATTTACTGTACCTACGCTTATTTCTTGCACATACTTAAAACTAATCATAGTCCTAAATAAATAAACTCCCACATATACTTAAGGCTTTATCTAAAGCCGGCGCTCGATACCACCTGGTGCAGTCTCTACGGTTCCTAAATTATGCTACAAAGTGCCTTCCTAAGTTCTAAATTTTCACCGCACCTAAACTTTGCACACCAGTGCTTTTCCTAAATCATAAAAAACTTCTCATCCCTTAATTTTGCCACTCGGTGCTTCCTCAAATTCCAAAAATTTCATCTTCCCCTAAATTCTACCTTCTGGTGCCGACATATTCTGTGCCGCTGCTTCTGGGTTAATGGTGAATAACATATCAGCTATTCTTAATTAAAATAGCACTAAATGTAATCTTTTGGCCTATGAATTTCATTTGCAAAATCTATTTTTAGCGTATGAGAAGAAATTTTTGTTGAATTTTTCCTTGTCAACATTTCTTAGAGCATGTAAAAATCTATAATCATTGCCAAGCGTAATGTTAGCATAAAAGGTTGCCATACTCTTGTTATTCAATTACTAATATAAAAAAAAGTTTAGACATCACTGCATGAGTTATTGCTGAAGCTGTCATCTATTGATAAACATGCGATGATGAAAGCAAAATATGATAAATAATGACTCGCCAGGTAGGGGTCAGGGATATAAAATAGGTGAATGCTTCGGTTTGAGATGTATGCTAAGCAGATATTCAGCTACAGAGCCAAATTATTTATCTCCCAAATTTATGGTTACATGATTGTTTTTCCAAAACAAGGTATTTTATTTAGTACCTAAGTGAAATTAAGAATCGGAATTTTGAAGGGAAAATCTCCACATGTTTTATTGTGGAAGGAAAAATCAAATGTGCATGCATAAAGCATTAAAAAAAAAAAAAAAAAAAAAAAAAATAAAAAAAAATTCTGGATAATGGACATCCGGATTTCGAACTTTGTACTGTATATTGGAACTATTGTCAGTAATACAGTCAAAAGTCGTTAATTCGGACACCCATAATCCGGACCTCAAAGCTAAAAACTTTCTGCGCATGCGCCGCGTTGGCACATGCGCACAGGTGTTTTACGCGTGCGCGTAAGGCCTTGACTACTGCGCATATGCGTGTGCGCAAGTGCAGAATACGTTTTCGCCTGCGCGTTTAATGTATAACGGACGGTGTAAGCTAAAATTATCTAATTATCTGTTTCAGTTAATGTTAATGATTGCGTTGTTCCTTAATCTTCAAATTGGATCCCGCTGATTATTTTTTGCAGACTGTAAGAGCAATTTTATAAAAGTAAACTTGAACTTTCGATTATGTCAATAGAATTTCCGATGCTGGAACTTCCAAAGGATCTACAAAACGAAAGTATGTTCGATGTCCAACAAACAAAAAGTGGAATTGCTGCAAAAAAATGATAAAGACATGAAGAATGTGACAGAGAGGTTAGTGAAAACGAAAAAATTTCGATTGACAAGTTAGTCGGTATTCTCGGCACAGCAATTAACGGAACTTGAATGCGGGACTTTGTAACTGAACAAGAAATTATGTCTGTTTATAGAATTAAAAAGAAAGTATATCACATAAATGAGCAACCTTAACAACTTACATTGAAAGAAATGTTGAATAAAGTAAAACAAATAAATATTAAGCTTTTTTTTTTTGTAATTTGATACCCTTAGATCATAATTGTTCGTTATTTCATAAATTACGGTTTCATATTTTTAATTTTAGAATTTCTGCATGCCATCTTACGAGATTTAAACTGATGATCTATAATCCAGAAAAATCGATAATCCGGAATCGCCGAAGTCCCGACGAGTCCGGATTAACGACTTTTGACTGTAATACTTATTTATTTATTGAAATTAATAATAGGCCCCTCATTGCAAACAGATGCTACCATAGTCTTAAAATCAGTTCCAATCTTGATTGATTTGCCATAATACTAAAATTAGTATATATAAAACCCTGTTATGTCCCATCATACTGTATGGCTGCAAATGCTGGGCAATGACTAAAATAATTAAAAGTGAACTACTAATCTTTGAACGTAAAATGCTAAGAAAAATATTTGCTGCTGTTTGTGAAAATGGTGTTTGGAGATTAATGTATAATCATGAAATCTACCAAAAGTTTAAACAGCCTGATATTGTCAAGATCATAAAAAGCCACAGGATTCAATGTTTGGGCCATTTATAGAGAACTGAAGACATAAACCCAGTAAAACAACTTTCATTTACCAAACTTATGGGAGCCAAAAAGCGAGGAAGGACACCAATTAGGTGGCTTGATACTGTTGAGGATGACATTAATACTATACATAAGGGAGATTGGAGGGTATTGTCATGAATAGGCAGGGTTCGTACGTTCCTGAAAGTCTTAGGTTTTTTGCAATTGATTTTTGGTCCTTAAAAGTTCTTAATTTGACCAAATTCAGCAGGAGGTCCTTAATTTTAATCTTTTAAAATTTCTGTCTGTTTTTACGATTGCTATTTTGAATGCAAATTAACATTTTGGTCAAATGTTTTTGGCTAGTCATTGATAAATATAGTTATCTTTTGAATGGGTGGAAATAGTTTCACTTTCTGCTTGCTTCTCACAGATTGTGAATCATTCGAAACAGTTTCTCTTTCCTCTTGCTTCTAGAAACCTTTCATTGTAAGATTAATGGAGTTATTTTTTCTACAAACTGACTTATGATGTAATTTGCTAAAATATTTTTTATGTGCAATTTTGGCTTTACATTTGCAGGACATGTGATATTTTCTAAAACAGCATCAGCACCTACCTTCATCTTTATCTTATCTATTTTTTTTGTTCTACATCCAATTTTTTGCAATTTATGGTATCGTGATGACCGTCACCGAGTAAACTTGATATATTTTTAGGCTTTGGACAGTTTTTTTTATAAGTTTGATCGCTTTGATAATTTTGAGAAAAGGATCGTTTCATTTTGTAACTTTTGGAAGGATTCATCACAATTTTGAATATTTCCATAGATTCCGCTTTATTTCTCAAAAAGGTAATAATTTCTGAAACCTCACAATTCAATCTTTCATTTTCGGTGGAAATCTAAAACCAAATCTTGTGGTAGAAGCTTGAATAATACTGGATTCAATAAATACTCGTATGAATTCTCCATTACATTTAATGAATGTAAATTTCTTATATTAACTTGTATTTCATTATATAATTTACGCAAACTGTTAACAATTAGAACTTTTCACAGGCCCTAAATTTAATAATTTTGTCATGCAGGAATTTAGAATAGAATCAGTTCTATCATATCTTTGTTTTAAAAGTCCAAGACATGAATCTTTTTTCTTATTTAATTCAAAACCAGCAACAATATTATATGCAGAATGAGAAAGAAGAGAATTTAAATACTGGGATTTTTTCAATTTCTGTAAGAGAACTATTTGAATGGATTGTTCTATCAAAACAATTTAAGAACTCCAGAAATTTGCTACGATCATGAGATTTCTATCTTTGGTACTTTTAAAGCCATAATGGAATTTTCCAAAATACAAGATGTATTGAGAACTGAAGAGTCCGCTGAACATTTTCTGGTTTTAATACTCGAATTTTACTCTTGTTTAATTTTACGAGCCAATACTTTGTCATCATATTCTTCCAAACCTTTTAATTCACTTCAAACTTCCTTATTATCTATGAGCATTTCTACCTCTAAATCTTAGCTTTTCAAAATCAGTCAGTCAGTTCTAATTGTTTCCATAACTCTGATAATGAAGTCTTCAGCAGCTTTATCAAACTTTGGAACTCTTTTATCTAATATAATAACACTGGTAAGAAAGTTACTTCTCTTTTCAATTATTTTTAAAAGTTTATCCATATTAATTCAGAATTTAAAGTTCAGAAAGACCTTATAACCACAGTCCAGGATACAGTAATTTGTAACATATTCAATGGCCAAATAAAGTATCCAAACTTCACAGAATGTTTTAATTATGTGTCTAATGGTGCACCAATGAGGCTTTTGGAAGAACAATAAAATTTATAAAGATAACAATAATAAAAGTATAACAAAAACAAATAGTTGAGGGTATATTATTATGCATCTCTGCCTTCCACCTTTAGAATCCTGTCTGCCACTGGCTATTGGAATGTACACAGCATCCTCTAGCCAAATTGGCATGGGAATTATGTAACAACATGTATTTATCTGCATGTGGTGGCTGTCATAATAATGTGACTTGATCCCTATGTGTATATATATATATATATATAATCCAGAATTAAATATTAAAAATGCCAAAGTGTTACATTATGATTTTTGTGTATCTAATAGGTAAAAGTATACTTACAATGAAATTAAATAATGAGAGTAATAAATCATATATGAAATTATAATGTTCTTTTAAAATATGCTATTTTCTGAATCTTGAAATGTTTTTCTGCTTTCTGACTTTTTCTTTATATTTAGAAAGGTGCACCAGTTACATATACGAATTTCTTTGATGTATGTCTTGGAAATGCCACCAGTTCTGATCAGAGATATTTTATGCATTATGAATCAGCATGGTAAGCTCTAATTTTGCTTAATATAGTAACAATTCTTCTCACTGTTAAAGGCATATTATTTCTTATAGATTATAATTTTGATGTTTATTTAGACATTAATGTTAATCGACTGTAAATGTGGGATCATGTGGATTATTCTGTAATTGAGTTGTGATATTTATACACATATTTTTTACCCCCTTTTTTGTTTTACTAATGGATATTGTTTAGCTAGAGCTTGTAGTATAACTTAAAAATTGAATAGAGGAGTTTATCTGCTGCATGCTATCCACTATGCTATAGCCATTTTTGGGATAAAATGGCTTGCTATTCTTTTGGTGCTCATTCTGCAGTTGTAAAAATGACATGGTTGTGAAAAAGAGGCAGACATTTATTGATGCATTATTTCTGCTTATTAATTTCCACTGTAGTTGGAGTTCTGCATAACCCACAAATATTAAAACATAATATCTAACTTAGAATTTCCTTGTGAATTCTATATATGAATTTAATTCATTTTCTTTTGGGAAACTGAATATCTTTGTAACTTTTCTTCAGGGGGATTTTAATATGTGCTTCAACAGATTCCATTGAGATAGCTGTAATTGGCGATCCTGTAAGTAACCTAGAAAACTTTGCTAATAATTTGAAATAAAATTCTTTCCTTTGTTTTATTATTATTATAGTTATTTTGTATATCTTAATTTGTAAAACATTTTTGACTTATGTGCAGCCTTTGTATTGTTGCATAATATTTTTTATTTACTTAGCCAAACTGGACACAATGGGATGTAAAAGAAGATGGTAAAGCACTTTTGCCAGGAAAAGATGGTGCTTCTCATGCGATTGGAATGGGTGTTATGTACTGTGCTCAAAGGAAAATAATCATAAGTAAAATTAATAGTTTGTGTTGCTATATAAAAATTTTTTAACATATGTAAATAGAATTTTAATCATTAAAAGACACTGAATCGGTTACAGAATTAAAGAAAAATTATCTTTTTAGAGATTGCCAAATTAGTTTTCGTGCATTTATTATTAAGTAAATAAAATGTACTAAATTGTGAAAGGCTCACTTGCCACTGAATAGTCAAATTATTACACACAAATATAGTTTTTTCATAAGAAATATTTTTAGAAAAATATTATAAATAGTATAATTTAAAAAACATTAGTTTACAGTGTTTTAAGTAAATCATTTGTAAACCCAAAATAGCTAAATTGTTTTGCTTAGGGAAATTTTGTAATAATTTTTTTGTTTTGTTCTGTAGGTGAAAATGAATCATATCCACCAATGCCTATAATCTTTTTTCTGACTGATAATGGACTTCTTGTTTCCTTTCACGTGATTAACAGTGCCCCAGACTGTGTTAGTTTAGTCCGTCCATCAACTCCTATTGAAATTGAAGGAGAGCGGAAGAGGCCAGGTAATTTTATAAATTAGACATTTGGTGGTAGTGTAATATTCATGCTTAATTATGGCTAGAAATATTTATACTTAATATGGCAATATAATTATATTTTAATATTTTATGTGAAAATTATTTTTACCCTAAAAGAGCATTAGCCTAAAAGGGCTATTAGTCTCAAAACGGCATTTTGCATCAAATCATTATAAACAGTGGTATCACTTTTAAAATTGTTGCCACCAAAGATTATCGCCTTGTAATTTAAAGAAATTAAATAATCAAAAATCTGCATGAATGTGTATATGTTTCTTGCATTGTGAAAAAACAATAGTATGTAGATCATCCAAATTTTGAGTAACGTAGTTCTTCACTCAAATATGGGCAATTGGAAACCTAAATTTCAAATTTGTTTTATTATTTATTTCATATTTAGTAAAACTTTAATGAATTTTTGATTAACAAACTCAATGATTTCAAAATGAGCAATGGCAACACTATATGGAAAAACAAAATTTTCATATTCAGTGTGGAAAACTATCCCGTGGAAATTCTAAAGATATGCTGTTTTTAAATATTTTGTGATATTGCTGTTGAATTGAATTTTTTTGTGGAAGGAAGTGCAAGGAACATAATATTTAATAAATAAAAGGAAACGCACAAAACGTTAAAAAAATGCCTCTTTGGGTGTAATATAAAATCTGAAAGATTTCAGATTTTTTTTTTTTTTTTAAATTTTATTCTTTTTCACTGTCACAGTCAAACAGTGATCTTTCTTAACGATTCTGTGATGACTTTTGCAGTAGTTTCTTCCTTACAGACAGAATTTGAAAATCTAAGCTTAGCTTCATCTTTGGTTTCTGCACCGTTTTGCAATCATACTGCTTGAATATCTATGCATGTTATGAGCAATTATTTCTATATATTTGTCTTGTAAATTCAACTGCCTTAGTAGCCCTTTTTCCAAATTTAAAACAAAACTTAATGTTTGCTAATTATGTAACAGTGTTCATTCACTAATTAAAAAAATGATGCCATATTTCCCATCTTGCTTAGCAGATGGTGTTAGAATATTCTGTGATTATACACTCACTTCCAAAAGTTAAGCACGAAGATGTAAAATGCAAAAAAATCAACAAATACTGCTTTGATTGACACAGAGTTCACCAGGAAAGTAGCATATATATTATGCATATAACAAAATCAATAATTATATATAAGAAATGAAAAAAAATAAATAAATTTTGTAAGTTATCAGATAATGACAAAATGGAATACTTGAAATAGAATTATGTATATAGTGAAAATAAACAGCATAAAATGAAAAAAATGGACATTAATAGGGTATGTGACCCCCCTCATCTGTATACAAAGTTTATACCTTGTGACCATGCTTTCAATTAGGTGGTCAACCACCACAGAATTAAGCAATTGCCATTCTTCTTGTAGAGCAGTTTTCACCTCAATAAGAGTGGCTGGAGGCGGGAAGCGTGAAGATACAGCATGGCTGAGAGCATCCCAAAGATTTTCAATTGGATTAAGGTCGGGCGAATATGCTGGCCATGCCATACGCGGAATCCCTTCACTCTCCTGGTAGTCATCGATGATGTCAGCTCTATGGGGACGTGCATTATCGTCCATTAAAACAAAAGTAGGGCCGACTGCTGCACCGTACAATCTCACAATGGGTTTTAGGACTTCATCTCGATACCGGACAGCCGTCAAAGAACCCCGTTTACAGATGTGCAGGTCGGTGCGGTATCCTAATGAAATCCCTGCCCACACCATAATGCTTCCATCTCAGAATGCGTGATGTTCGGTGGTGTTTTGGGACTGATTGCATGTTCGTTGTTCACACCATATCCTTATGCGCTTGTCATCTGGCTCCAGAGCAAATCTTGACTCATCAGTAAACATGACATTGCCCTAGTCAGACACATTCCAATTGACATGTTCCCGGCACCACTGTAATCGTGCCCCTCTTGATTGGACCGAATAGAGAAACACAAACTCGAGGTACCTGGGCGTACAGTCCACTGTCATATGTAATCTTCGGCATACAGTAGCTGCAGATATCGCCGTTACCAATGGACACTGTAACCATAGATGTCACATGTGTGGAGGTCAATCTGTGATTCCGCTTGGCTACGATAGCAATATATCGATCTTCCGTGGGGGTTTTAACCCTTGGGCAATCGGCTACAGGCCTTCGGACAACTGTCTGTGTGGTTTGGAATTGTTTCCATAAACGTGAAATTACCGAATGATGAATGACGAAGAAAAGAGCAATATCTGTGATCGACTGTCCTCCTTCAATGTGCCCCACGCCACGCCATAGATCAGAATCTTCCATTCGTCTCCTGGAAGTCATAGAAACAAGTATGTCTTGAAAACAAATTGTACGAAAGTTTTAAACGCCTTCTATCAGCACTTACAATCAACTTCTATAACCCTTCATAAAGCTGGCTTCTTATGAGAGTGCCTTTTTTGCATAATTCTTGATATGAAAGCGCGATTGGCTGTTACCTAACATATTTGCATACTTCCATCTACCTCTGCAGTGAATTGCATCCTCTTCAATTCTGATTGGCTTCTGGAAATTAGTATTTTCCTCTCCATGTTTAACTTTTGGAAGTGAGTGCAAATGCAGATTAGCATTTGGGTGATATATTACCTGCACAATGGTGTTTTAATCTTAGCCATAATGAAATCAGTCTTTTATTTTATAACTAGATTATGCTTTTGTTCATGGATTATACAGAAGTTCTAGAAGGAAAAAAAAGAATGTGGCCCATCATCCCCTGCCACTAAAAAGGGGGGATAAGGGAAAAATAATTTGGTGTGTTGTCTTTTACCTATATATATATATATATATATATATATAATATGTATGTGTCTAATAATTTTGAAAAAATGATGGTGTAGCAGATGCGGTAAATTTAATTTTGTGAAGCATAATCATGTGAATTACACATGATGACAATTGACACAATCTGAGCACCCATTCTTAATCACACTTTTGTGTACTCTACATCTTTCTATTAGACAGTATTATGAGTGGTTACATTGTAGAATTTTGCATTCCAAAGGAGAACACTGGATGTAAGCGAATAACAAAAGATGTTAAATGGTAATTTTTCCTTAGATTTAGCAGGATAGATGAACAATGCATGTCAGCCTATGACATATGAAAAAAGGCAAGATGAGGTAATAGGCGATAACTTGACATAACTTTTATGTCAGATCTTGTGAGTCTACTTGGCACATGTCATTAGTCAGCAGGTACTTGACTACATTCGATGCATTGCTTCATAGTAGATATGGTCTGTATTAGAATCTCACACTCTAAAGAATTTCTATTACCGTTTTTGTATTCGACAGCTAAATACACCAGGATGTCATGATTTGAAACACTGCTCCAAGTTGAGGAGAACTACAGCTACGAGAGTAACCTCACAGATAGCCACCCTGATATCATGAACGACAGCCATCAGATAGGCTACTAGGACATTAGGTGCATGGGACAGACGACAAAGGTGGTACATAGCTCTGGCAGTTTCACTTATTCCTGTTTTCATCACTGCACAGATGCACATTTCCTAACATGTATGAGAATATAATGGATAAAAAAGAGAGGTAAGTGTCAAGATTTTTATAGACAACAGGCAAGACAGTTGTGTGTCGTATTTCAGAAGAAAGTTGAGCTCAAGAAAAACATTGTGGTTCTCAAAAGGAGTTAGTTTTGGTTTGCTGTATTTGGACTGGATAATATTAAAGCTTCAAAAATTATTATTGGCTGAAGTGTTTATATGAGTTATCTGTATCAGAGCATTATGTAAAAATCGTTTGACATGAATTAATTTGAAAATGATACAGTTTAAGGAGTTTTATTCTAAGCAGTTACTATTTTTAGGATAGGAAGGGGAAATAGCCAGATTAAACTAAGAAATAAAGGAAAAATTTTGACTCACGCATTTTTTTATCTTGATATATGAAAAATTCTGTGTTTTTTAAACTGTTGATAATCATTTAATTTTATTGAAAATGTATTAATTTATTATTAAAATATGTATTATGAGATTAAATGTATTAAAATACTTGTGATATTTATGTAAACAATGCATCATATTCTGTTGTGATACTTGTTTCCTTGTCATTTAACTTGTTTAAAAGCATTTCAAGTAGCATTTTGTTTCTTCATTTGAATCATAACAGCAGTCTATCCTTGTCTGGAGCAAAATGTTAAACTTTTCCATGAGACATGTTTTTTTTTATAGCTGCATATTACTTTTAGTATAACAATTTGCTTAAATTGCATGTAAGGTAATTATATAAAAAGTTTTCTGAAACCTGAAACATTGCATGTTGTAACTTTAGCTTGTGATATTGCTAAGTAATGTAAATATACTTTTTTTTTTTTTGCAACATATTCTATTGGAGTTTTCTCTTTGTTTTAGATTACATTCAGAGCAAACCTGCTGAAACTACTGTTGTTTCTACTGCTACAGAAGCTGCAAAAAATATAACTGTGACGTCATCTGTGTGAGTCATAGCATAAATATAGCATTTCTATGCTGCATGGTTATTTACATATTTATTTACGTTACATTTTGTATTTATTTACATATTCGCTTTTTAACTGTTCAAGCTTGTTTTGCTAGTGAACTAACCAACTTTTATTTTTACTTTAAATAATTATAAATTTAAGCAATAGGTAATAGAATATATCAGTCCTACAACTTAAATTTATTTCAAATGCAAAAATTGTTCGTTATTAAGATAAATATAAATTTTTCTCTTTATAAATCTTTTTTTTCGGAATATCAAACAAAAGTTGTGAGCATGGATTTCCTACATGTAATATAGTACTGTCTGTGTTTTCGTTTAGTTATTTAAGAAAATAAATTTTTTTCCCCTCCCAATGGTTGAGCACTAGCAATTATAGGCATTGGCCACTACTCAGCCCGGAAGCGGTAGTCTCTTTATTATAGAGCCACCTGATTAGGTGGGCCACCATTGCTTACTATGAAGAGCTTACTACAGTACAAAGTCTGTAATCCGGACCTCAAAGCCGCAATTATTTTTTTTTCCTGTATGCTTTATGCATGCGCGTTTAACGTTATGTATGCGCGTTTAATGTTATGCATGCGCATTTAATGTTTACGCATGTGCGTTTGGCACAAATAATGAAGCAACTTAAACAACTTACATTGAAAGAAATGTTTAATAAAGTAAACAAATAAATGCTAAGCTTTTTTTTTTTTTTTTGTAAATTTTGATACCCTTTAGGTCATAATTGCTCTTTATTTCATAAATTATGTTTTCATATTTTTAATTATATAATTTCTGCATGCCATCTTACCAGACTTAAATTGATGATCTGTAATCCGGAATCGCCAAAGTCACGACGAGTCCGGATTACGGACTTTGTACTGTATTACTATTATTTTTGTCCATGCCTTGTCCGGGATTCAAACCCGGGCTCTTTGGTACAGCTGACAGAGTTACTAACCACTTTCTAGTCCATGTGGGGGAGAAAATAAAAACTTATAGAAAATAAATGCATCAGCTGTTTCTGCTTACTTGAAATGAAATTATTGTTTTCTAAGTTTTTGATTCAGGTTTATGGTTTTAATTATCATTTAATAATATAATGCTTACTGTATTTAATACAGTGAATCAGTGATTGTGAAGTAATGTAAATTCTTTAATTTAGATTTGTATTTGTCTTGTATAGGTGGCCTATTATAAGCATAATTAATTTTAATTTTATGGTACTTAACATATTTTCTCTTTGACTGGGAAAGTTGGCAGAGATCCTGTCAAAACTATGCCAAGGATTCCGATGGAAGTTTCAAGGAACAAATTGCTATGTTAGATTATGTAATCAAGAATGGCATATAAAAAATAATTTCAAATTCAAGCTTTGAGATTATCTAACAAAGAACGCATTAAAACCTGTGCTAAACATTCTGGCTACCATAGCATTCTGGCTTCCCTAATGGAATATAAAATAACAAAGCTTTGAGATTATCTAACAAAGAACGCATTAAAACTTGTGCTAAACATTCTGGCTACCATAGCATTCTGGCTTCCCTAATGGAATATAAAATAACAAAGCCGTTGCCTGTTTATGAACTTTGCACCACATAAATTCATGTAAATATGAATCTAACTGCTCTGCAATGTCTTTTGCTGTGCCATTTTGATGAACTGTACACGTTTTCAAAGTTTTGAGTATGTGCATCAGTATAGCTAGTCCCACAACTTTGAAAACATCTTCTACTTACTTTTTACAAAACAGCGGTTCCCAACCTATGTAGCACGCACAATGTTTTACAAAAAAATTAACCTCTAAGTCCTGATTATTGGGTAACATTAGTGGAGGATTTGGCTAAAAGTGATCAATGAGATATTCATAAGAGTATGCATGTACAAAATTTTATGGAAAAATTGTGTAAGTTTGTGCACTGATAGATGGATTAAGTATTTTCATTCAGTTTAATTCATTTATATCTTGTTTATGGCTGCATAAGGAAATTTACCCAAAATTAATGTCTTGCTTGAATGTTTATGCATTATTATGCAAAAATATTTGAAAAACAGATCTCATTAACTAGATTTCTAGTAGGAAATAATTAAAAAAAATCATGTTAATGTAAAAAAAAATACTTAATTTTTTATCATGATATTATTTTTGTTTATGATGTGTGCCATGCTGTGGAAAATGTTGGGAAGTACTGCTGTTGAAGATAAATCCTAAATTTTAATATGCTTTTCAAAATGCAAGAGAAAAGTGTAGAAATAACAGTTAATTTGTAACTTTCTTATAATACCTAACCTAGCTTACTAAAGATCAGGGTTACACATCAAAGCGAAGTTCTGATGAGTGTGTTGTGACAACACGCTTATCCATTATTCACAATAAATTGCACTATTTGGTGAGATTGTTGAAAACAGTCTATGGTAGAATATGTAAGTGCCAATTTTACAACTATAAATATTTTGATATTATATTTGGAGTTATTAGGATATATATATATATATTTTTTTTTTGTTTAGTTTGATGTCATCAACTTTTCCATCATCTGTGCAAGAAAATAAAACTAGTGGATTACCATTTGATTTTAATAAAAACAGCACTTTTGGTTTTAGCCAAAGTAATAGTGGATTATCTCAAGACTTCTCTGCACATCAGAAAAATAAAGAAGGTTCATTGCCATTTGGTAAATAACATATTTTAATTGCAGTTTTGTCATATCTAATTATCATTTAAACAATATAAAATTTTGATTTGCTAGAAAGATAGATTCATGGAAAAACTATGGGGGGGGGAACAACAACTTTTTAATAAAAAAGAGGGACTTAATGCATATGAAAATAATAATGGAGAATTCTTTCAAAATATGAAAATACAGTACTGCTAATAAGTTTCTTCCAAAAAAAATCAATGTTAAAGCTTCTGTTTGTATCTATTTATCTTTTGTAAAAAAACAATTATAAATTCATTGCTTAGAATCTCTGATTTCCACTGATACTGGAAATGCAACTATGGCATTGTGAAGCTAAATTGGATGATGTGAGTGCAAGGTTTTAATACAAAGGTCCAAATGTAGACTTCTTGGCTGATCTTTTGAAATCTTATGTAGCCAATGTTCTTTTGTTTTTAAGGTCAAGTGTGCAAAATTTCATCAAGATCAGAATAAAACTGTTAGGGTTGCCACGCTATCTGGAAAACTGGGAAAACCAGAAAATGTCAGGGAATTAAAAAATTGGCCAAAAAAGTCTGGGAAAAATCAGGCAATTTAAATATTTTAGTCAAAATCTGGAAAAGTCAAGTAATGTCATCCCCCAAAAAGAGAGTTTTGCGCCAATGTTGGAAGCAATGGCTTTTCTGGCGAATTATGTATCGGATGAGTGTCATTCGGGAAGCTGGCATACGCCAATTTTCGCAGCTCCAATCAGATTGTCTTTTAGAAAGGCAAAGCAAGTTTGGTTTCCAGTAACTTCGAGAATTCTAAGACTCGCATGTGCAGGTTATGTTGAACTAAAGAAAATCCTTCCATTTGTAACAAAAAATCGGTTTAATCCTATAATATGTAAGATGTGTATGTAAAGAAGAAAGGTTCCATAGACATAATGTAAATCCGTTGCTAGATAGCTGCTAGAACGCAGAGGAAAAATTCCAAGGGATTTGGCGACGGAACCTGCGGTGCGAGGAATTCAATCCGCGATGTATACAGGAAATGTGAGAATGTAGAAAAGAAACGTTCTTTGACTTTGTGATATTTATACCGGATTTTGTACTTTTTTTGCTCAAAATAGCTAATCTATTATTAATTTACACATAAAAAAAAAAAAAAAAAAAAAAAAAATCTTTCCTGAAGGAAATTAAAACTGTTCGTTTTTTATCTGATAAACTTGAATCGAATTGCGAGCTTCGGAGACAGAATTTCGTGCATACGCAGCTGTTTCCTCTACATTGGGACGAGCCATCTGTTGCAGAAGTTTTTTTTATCTAACAATAATATTGTTTTTTCTAAACTCCTGTACGGAACATGGTATTGGGCAAATTGATGCGCAGTAGTAACAACAGTCCAACAGCTTCTGTCTCTTAGTCTCTGTTAGAAGGTGTTGGTAGTAACAGTATTTGGTTGTTGGCAGTTTCAAATTGTCAAGCGTAGTGAAGATAGGATTTACACAAAATCTTTAAACTTTCTTTTTTATTTTAATAAATACCTTATTTTTCATTTTGCAGTAAAATAAAAAATAGTAATCAGTCATCAGGCTAACGTTTAATATCGCAAAATAGCATGATTATTGTAATTCAATTTTTAAGTAATTATTCATTTTAATGTTTTTATGTCATTTAATGTTCTTCTTTCCTCAATTATTTATCTAGTAATAATACTATTTCAGGCAAATTTTCTGGCATAATTCTGAAATAAATCTAGCAGTATGATGACATACTATCACGAAATTTAAGCACATATTTTTTTTTGTATGCTGCCAAATAAATATAAAATAACCTGAATTATTTAAAAATATATTAATAGGTTTCTTTCTTTGTTTAGCTGCAAAATGTCTGCAAAAAACTCATTTTTTAATCCAGATTGGGCAGATTCTAATCTCAATCTTCAGTGGAGAAAACAACAACTATTATAGCTATAATTGTAATGCTTTCAGGATTATAAGTCACATGCAATTGGCAGATTTTTGTGTTTTCAAGTGGTACCATAATTAATTTACCTCTCAGAGCAGTCAAAGCGCACTATGCGGATAGAATGGGATTTTCTCAAAACACACCTGAAAAACCTGGAAAAGTCAGGGAATTTCATTCTCCTCTTTAAGTGGCAACCCTGAACTGTAGATTTATATGAATTTACACACACATACTTAAATGAACAGATTCTCTTCCTTATGTGTGTGTATTATGTATAATTTTAATGGATTCAACTAGTGTAATTTCATGAGTCCAGTTAGTAATTAATAATAATCAAAATGAATCTGTGTTTATTGCTTTCAAATTGTTTAGTCTGTTCATTAATTACAGAATAAATTTTAAAAATATATAAAATATATAAACGTTTTGCTGAACCAAAAAACATTGCAGTGTAGAAGATAAAAATGGTTTAATATGGGCAGTGGCAGTATATTTCTTTTGAATCACTGAATTTGTTTATAAAACTCAAAGGACAAGTATATTGTGAGTGGCAACACACTTCTTTTATATAGCTGAGTTTTCTGATTAAATTTTAAACATAAATATCTTACACATTGCAGTGTGGCAACAGAAAGTCTTACTGATAACTTAACAGCATATTGTCTTTACTGTGCTGCGTTATAGATACTGTTGTGGATGCGATGATCAAGTAAATATAAAACATTAGAAACCTTAACTATTTATTGAATTGTTTAAATGCATTGTGTGCCACTATAGGCGAAAACAAAACTGCAAGTGCGTAGTTTTATGTGAGTGACATTCTAGCCAAGACCATCACCAAGAACAAGATATTGCCAAATGCGTTGAAAACATATTGTTCATACAAGAAAAACAGTTAATACTTAACATACCCCCCATCATTGAAGGGTTTAAACACTTCAGTCAATAATGAATAATTAAACATACATTACAGTTACAAGATAATTACTACATAAATTTGCAAACCACAATAATACAATACAATTATAAGAAATCAAATTACACTGTTAGCAGATTGTTGAATCAAAAATAGTCCTTTAAGAAGAATTCTCCTTTAATGCTCAATATCACAATTTTTGCGATTCCTCTTTTTATAGTTCCAATTGGTGCCTGCACATTGGGAACCATAACCTTTCCATCTGGTTTCAGAAAAACATTTACAACACAACCTAACAACCACTTATTTACAGGAAGGCAGTTTTCTGTAACCAATATTAAGGGAACCTAATTTAAAATTTGTTCTATCTGACTGCCACTTTGAATGTTGTTGAAAAGTGCTCAAATATTCTCGGTGCCATCGATTCCATATAATTTGAACCCACCTACTAATTTTGTGCCATCGAGAGAGTCTATTTTCATTTACATTGATTAATTTGGGTTCAACGATGGCTGTCATTGGCCTTCCGATCAGGAAATGATCTGGTGTCAAAGCCTCCATATCATTAATGTCAGGTGATAATGGATTGATTGAACGCAAAATAGACTCAATTTGTGTTACTACAATTAATAATTCCTCAAATGTTAGTCTTACATTACCTACTGTTCACTTTAAATGATATTTTGCAGATTTTTTCCCTGCCTCTCACATCCCACCAAAATTAGGAGTTCGAGGAGGAATAAATTTCCATTTGATTCCTTCTTTGGACCAATAATTAGCCAACCTTTTTTCAGGATGCCTAATTAAATTGTTAAGTTTTTGCAATTCAGTGCTAGCGCCTACAAAGTTTTTTGTGTTGTCGGAAAATATAACTGCCATTTTCTCTCTTCTTTCAATGAATTTCTTCAAAGTGGCAGTGAAGGCAGCTGTTGTAAGTTCAGATGCTAATTCGAAATGAACTGTCTTGATTAAAAAGGCAAACGAAAATTGCTAAGTATACTTTATTGAGGATCCCTTTTCTTTTTCCTTTTTATCTTATGAAAAAAGCCCCCTCCCCCCAAAAACGTCTGTGCCAACATTATTGGAAGGGGCACTGGGATTTACACATTCTGATGGTAAAGAACCCACTATTTGTTCAAGTGGTTGTTTTCCCTACACTTAACACATTCGTGCGTTATATTTCTGGAAAAATTCCTGCTTTGTATTGGCCAGAATTTCTTCCTCACACTACATAACAATGCTTGTGAACCTACATAGAGATATTTTTGTGATAATATTGTACGATAATATTGCTTAACTTACTCTTTGCTGGTAAGATTATTTGTGAAAAACTCAGGTTGGCATTTTTTACTCTACCTGCAACTCTCATTACCTTATTTTTGTCCATAAAGGGATTCAATGATGCTAATTTATTTTGTAAGAAATTGGTTTACCTTGCAGCAATGCATGGTGTTCTGGATTAAATTTTTTTTTTTTTTTTTTTTTTTGTGTGTGTGTGTGTGTTCCCACATGAGATAATTTTGTGCATAATTTAATTCTTTTGAACTTACCCAATTTGTTCTTTTATGAGGAGAATTTCTTCCCTTTCTTGAATTCCAAACAAACCTGAAAATATAGCTCAAAATACATAGTATTTTATTATAATTATTACTAATGTTTAAAATTGAGTTAATTAAATCATTATCGTCAATGCAGATCAGGGATGTGTCAGTCACTTTTCCAAATTCACTAGAAAAGTCTTCTGTTTCTTCTTGATGTTGATAATCAGTGTTTTTAATGGATACAGGGACTTCTTCCTTCATCAGGAAGAAAGATCCATTCCACCAGAGATCAGCATCACATAGTTTGTCAAAATTTACTTCACGGAAAGCAAGATCCGCTGAATTGTCTTCTGAGCGTACGTGATTTCACTGGTAATTCAAAGTTATGTCTTGAATTTTACTCACTCTGTTGGCACAAAAGGTTTTGAGCAAATGTGGAGGCTTTGAAGCCATGCCAAGACAATGGTTGAATCCGACTACAAATATCTCTTACTGATGGTTAAATTCAAGAGAGTCACCTCCTTTGACGCAAGCTGGGATAATAATAAAGCTGCACTAAGTTCCAATCATGGCACTGACAATGGTTTTAATGGTGTTACCCTTGTT